AGTTGGGTCACCCTTCTTTGGAATGGGAACAAATATAGATCTCTTCCAGTCAGTTGGCCAAGTGGTTGTTCTCCAGATTTCTTGGCACAGCTTGGTGAGCACATACAGGGCAGCATCTGTTAGCTGAAAAATGTCAATTGGTATACCATGTATTCCAGGAGCCTTATTTTTTGCTATTTCATTCAAAGCAGCTTGAACTTCTGCCTTCATCACCATAGGCTCTTGCTCAAATGTTATTTCATTACATTCTTCTGTATCTGCCAATTCCTTTCTATACAATGACTCAGTATTTTCCTTCCATCTTCTTTTGATACCTCCTGGATCATTTCACATTCTGCCTAAAGCATCCTTGATTGTAGCAACTCGAGGTTTGAATTTGTTCTTTAGTTCTTTGAGTTTAAGAAATGCTTAATGAGTTCGGCCCTTTTGATTTTCTGACTCTAGCTCCTCACACATTTCGTTGTAATATTTTGCTTTGTCATTCTGAGCTGCCTTTTGGAATCTTCTGTTCAGCTGTGCTAAGAGCCTTATTTTTCCTATTTCCCTTTGATCTTCACAAGGCCCCAGGGAAGTCATCTCTGCTTTCCAGTTTCCTCTTTCTTTATAGAATGGCTTTTCTTACTAACCTAGACTCCAGTGCTGGTAGTCATGAGTACACTCATTTGACCACCTCACTTTGAATGTCTGTATCTCATGTATTCTTGTGTTGTCTTTCCAAGAGACCAGGAATCTTTGGGGGAAGCAGGAACAATGCCTTCTATTTGACTGAAAAATAGAAACAAAAAACCAAACAAACCCCAACAAAATTAAACCCCAAACCCACTGTGTTAATTATGACTCCTGATAACCTCCCCTTGGGGAGGTAAATCTTAACAGGTGCAGGCTGCTTCACCTTTATCCCATGGAGCAGCTTGTGGGTATGAACTGCCAACATTTTGGTCAGCAGCCCATCACTTAGTTCATTATGCTACCAGGCTCCTTGTTTTATTAGTGAGCCTTCAGAATTGAAAATGTGGCCCTAAGGGGCAGCCTTACCTGCATGGGCTGGCAGATGATGGTGAGGGGTGTTGTGTCTCCAAGTCCCTGGTCCTCATACTGGCGCCTCTCCAGGATCCCATCCCCAAAGGGTAGGGAGTTGGAAGACGTGTTTAAGATCGAGTAAGAACTGCCAAGGAAAACACGGAAAAGTTAACTGCCTTGGCCAGGGGTCCTCAGCAGTTCACCCTCCAGCTCAGCAGGAGGTGAATACTCCCACAGTGAGTCAGGTGATGGCTCAGAAAAGCAGGCACAGGGAACAATGCTCCCTGAGAGAAATGTACTGTGGGAGAAACATCTGGCTTTAACCAAAGCCCTGTAGTTAATACATTAGAGGTAAATGGATTTTCACACCCACAGATCTTTCCATCCCTCTGGGGATAGATGGGGTGCATAAAGACCACAATGTCACAGGCACAGCTGTCATTTAAAGGTGCATTATGGGGGGCTGTTGTTGTTAAGTGCCGTAGAGTCGTAGATGACCCATAGCGACCCTATGAACGAAAGTCTTGAACACAAAACTTTAATCTTTTTCCAAGTTTATAGTTTCCATAGGCAAGCTTTTTTGGGAAGTGGATGCCACTCCTGCTTCCAAGGCTGTTTTATTGGATGATATGGTGTCAATTTTGTATTATTTTTTTCAGACATTTTCCTGATTGAAAAGAATAATATGACTGAACCTGTCCTTTCCCCATGGTAATTTGAAAATTAGAGGAACAATGTTAACTCACTTTATCTGTTTGCTGGTGGGTCCTGATGATCAAGGAACCTTATAAATATTACCCTATTTTATCTGCTTTAGTCTCCAAACTCCATCTCCACTGTTTAAAAAATAAACTTTTCAAAATTTTGAAGATTTTCATAATGTTTTTATGCCACTCACTCCCTAAAAAAATTTCAGTTTTTCCTGCAATTTACAGACATTCAACAGAGGGCTCAGAAGCCTAAAGTCACATCCTGAAGAAGTTGACTTCAGCGCTTATGCACTGCTTTGTCAGAATTTCCTGAGGGCTAAGAAATACATTCTCTGAGGTCTTACAACTTGAAGCTGTCTTTTAAAAAAGCAGCTTTAGAACCTCTGATAATGCAGTCAGGGAGACAATTACAATAACATTTTAACCAACTGTAGCCCAAGGAATCTTGTGCCATCCACACAGCCTAACTGAGTAATTTCTCTCCTTTATTTAGGGAGCTGTAGTGGTCTAGTGGGGAGGGAGTTGTGCAGCTAGCCCAATGGAAGGAGGTTCAAATCCACATCCTTCAGCTGCTCTGCAGGAGAAAGTTGACAATCTTTTCCTGTGAGATTTACACCCTCTGAAAACTGGTTGGAGGATCAGCTATGAACTGGTTTCCACTTGACAGCAATGAGATTGAGGATTTTTCTTAAAACCCTCCTTTATTTACACCTAGACCTTCCCAGCATCACACGTTAAAGAATACCCTTTGTACAGTCAGCTCCATCAAAACTTCAGGGTCTGAAGCACTGAGGCATATGGACTTGTTCTGACCTCTTGCATGTATTTGCTTCTTTATTTCGCTTTACTACAGCTGTGGAGACACTGATAGACTTCTTTCTCTCCCTCTTCTCACTGCACACAGGAAATATAACTTCCTTTCTTTCTTTCTTTCCTGTCTCTGGAATGTAAGTACCGAGTCACTCTGAGACAACATAGGGCTGTCAGTTCAGTATAACAATAGTCAGATGCTTTCTAGTGAGAGCTGAGTAGGGAATGGGCTGGGAACGCAGAGCTGGTCATACGCTGGGGTGTGGTGGTAGTGCCCCATGACACACTAAGGCAACAGGTAAGTCCAGTAAGACCCTGCAAGCCCATTTCACCTCCGAGACACAGGACACCAGATGGCAAACCGAGGGATCTCTGAGCCAGGCAAGGCCCTCCAGTAATGGTGCTGAGAAAAATTCCCTTCAGAAGGGCCTCATAATCATAGAATAGAAGAGGGTCATAAGGGGCATTGATTCTCTTGCAGCTGTTGCTTGAATCCCCTTGTAACTTGCGATCAAGTTGGTCCGGTTATATCTCGACATCCCCTGAGGCAATCTCCTCCCGGGCGACTTACTGCCTCTGAAAACCTGCTGGAGGCTCAGCTATGAGTTGGTTCCCACTCAGCTGTTCATAACAACCACAGTGTTTCCTAGGGGCTCTCTGGTGGCATAGTGTACAGGGTGTGGCCTTGCTTACCCATTGGTGGTGCTTCTCGGCTGTCCAAATCTACCAGCAGCTTTTCATGAAAAAGATGAAACATCTCTTGTGTGATTTGCAGCCTCAGAAACCTGTTGGACGGAGGGTCTGTGTTGCTTCCGACTCAACAGCAACGAGTTTGAGAATGTTTCCCAGGGACGGTGGTGGTTCCGTAATAGAATCCTTGCCCTTCACGTGGAAGACACAGGTACGATTTCCAGCCAGTGTATTTTTGGCACAGCTCCCGTCAGTGGCGGCTTGTGTATTGTTATGACACTGAATAGTTTTCAGAGAAGCTTCCAGATTAAGGGAGAAAGGCCTGGTGATCTATTTCCAAACTATCCACCAACGCAAGCCCCATCGAGTGCAGTGAACCCATCACATTGATCAGGGGGGTAGCGCCAGCCCCGGCGTGCGTGGGGCTGTGAGCTGGAGCTGACTCTGCAGCAGCAGAGGTGCTGGAAGTGTCCCAGCCTCGTGGGCACCTCCCCTCCTCCCATCCAGCCTGGCCATGCAGCCGCTTCACACATGGTTCCCAAGGAAAGACTATCACTGAGTAACGCTCAGCACACAAAGGAGAAGGCACTCTGACCTCCTCTTGTGATCCACTGATTGGCCACTTCGATTCACTCCACTCCGGCCTGCACTCTGAGGAAACAGTGGGTTGAGGTGGTGTGGTCGTAAGCAGTCCAGCAGGTTCCCCTAAATGCTCTCTGACACTCGGGGTTCCAGGATTATCATCTGTATTTGTTCTCTTTGTTTCCTAGTGTCTCGGGTGCAGAGGGTCCGGGCTGTTGTCTGCTTAGACTGCTATCTTCCTGGAAACCCTCACAGACTCCTCACTGACATCTAGCCCTCCTCCCAAGAAAGAGAACTCTGGCAGGCGGGCTCCATCAGAAAAACCACCTTGCAGTTCTCCATTTTTATTTTTTTTAAAATAAATAGGGACATAATGGGGGCTTCTGGAGCCCAACTTATTTACACTGATCTTGAAACATTTCAGAAAAGCAAACAGTTGGAGGACATGAGTCAGTCAACCTTCCAGGTGGTGTCACCAAAGGCTGGGTGCTCAGGGTCTGGGTGGTAGAAGGGTAGGAAAAGGAAGTGATTGCTGGATGGGAATTATTAAGAAAGACTGCGTTCTTTACTGGCTTTAGATTTGTGGTTTATCTGCTCATTGTGAACCAAGAGCGGAGGAGGTTCTTTCTTTCCTTTCTCCAGGCTACATGCCTGCCTCTCTGCTTCCCTCTGACGGTGGGAATGACATCGCCAGTCACCGTGCAGCTGGTGGCTGTGGCTTCTGGCTCTCAGAGTCCTGGCACAAGGCAAGAACAAGAAGGAGGGAAAGCAAACCGGTATGTGTGCCCTGGCTAGATGCCTGTGTGTGCCAGGGGAGGGCTTCAAGAATCTGGGCTTAGCAAAGAAGGTGCTAGTTTGTTCTTATTTCATCCTTAGGGGCAAACTCTCAATTTCATTGCCAATGAATCAGACTCAACTCCTTGCTGAGCCTCCATTGGGTCTCTGAGGCTGTAAATCACACAACAAATTGCTCATCTTTCTCCTATAGATGCTGACGAATTTGAACCACTAGAGAGGTTTGGCCTTTGGTTTAGCAACACAACTTCTTATGGTTTTATCACCAGAGCTCCCTCTTTGGAGCAAAGCTGGCCATATGTCACCATGCTAGGCATTTATGTGCCAATTGTGAAGACTTGCTAAGGGTTACTTAGCTACTTAGCAAGTCAGGAATCCACTTTGGACACATAAGTCTTGAAAGACCCAAACCACACCCACTGCCATAGTCTTGCCATGTTGTTGTTGTTGTTATGTGCCGTCGAGTCGTTTCCGACTCATAGCGACCCTATGCACAACAGCCCCATACCTTGCTCTAACCTGCGCCAACCGCACCGCCTCTGACACACCCATCCCGATTACCCCAGTCACCGAATCAATCCATCTCAAAGAGGGTCTTCCCCTCCTGCATTGTCCCTCAACCCTACCAAGCATGATGTCCCTCTCCAAGGACCCATCCCTCCTGGCAACATGTCCAAAGTATGACAGACGAAGCCCCAGAATCCTTGCCTCCAAGGAGTAGCTTGGTTTAATCCTCTCCAAGATAAATCTGTTTGTTTTCCTGGCAGTC